GGGTAAGATTAAAATAGAAATACCAATACTGAGTAAAATTATTAGTTACTCTGGCATTAGATACAGTACACTGATAGTTACCAGCTTCACTTAAATTTGCTACTGTTACTCTTGTAACAGATCCTGGTCCATTCACTATCACACGAGACAGTTCAGTAGATATTCCATTCCCATTCATTGAACAACTGACAGTAGTAGGAGGACCATTAGAGACATTGAAACTGAGACTGAAGACTGGAGGAGTAGCTAATCTACTAGTGGAGAGGAGAGAGAACTGCATAGTAGGATCAGCATCAGGACCATCTGTAAAAGAAGTACATTAATTATAGTCTATATTCATCACATACCATTGTTATTGTATCCAGCAACAGTATATGCTCCAACCACTAGTGTTTGATTCACTCCATTCTCATCAGGAATGATACACTTGTATAAACCTTCATATCCTGATAGTCCATCTCTTCTAGCTAGTGCAATCTGACCACTGAATCTCTTACTGTACACTGGTCTAGGAGCTGAGGGATCAGTGAAGTTTCCATCAAATAAAGGTACTTCAATTCCATTAGGATAATACCACACTCCAATATTAGTACCATTGTTAGCACTCTGACACCACAAAGCATCATTGATACCATCATCACTCATTTCATGATCTAGATCATAAAACTGGCTAGCATATACTATAGAGTAATTAAGTAGCATTATATCATGATATGGTAGATACAGTTGAACACCTATAAATTATTTATCAATTCATCACACATGTATTAATTTATTAATTATTTGAATACTTTATTACTCTTACCATTGCTAGGTATGGTAGATGGTTCTTGTCCTTTTCCTACTTGAACTAGTGATAGTATAAGATACCACACAATAGCAGTATAATTTGATAGTAAGCTCATCTTCATCTTGTAGCTACTAGCTAAATGCTGTGATCAGTATGTTGTTTACCTTTACCTTTAGCCTGGAGACCCAGCCCTTTCCTATGCATATTAATGCATTGTTATCATAATGATAATAAAAACAAGTGACATAAACTATAAAAGTGTATACTTTAAAGTAATCATAAAGCAAACATTGAATGAAATTAATACAAATCTACAATATTAATATGTCTCCACAAAACTACAAAAATACTTTTATGTATTGAAATTTGAATATGTT